AGAATCATTTATGCTGTTGTAAACCTGGTGTAATTATTTCTTTCAAATGAGGGAGTGATAGGTTGTGAAAAAGCAGTCTCTGAGAATAAATAGGCTCTTATACATGTCTTTTTCCTTCCCGTCCTGAAGGGCATTTACTTGAGCAGTAGTTGCGTGAAAACAACAGTACAAATCAATATATTCATGTATATTGATATAATTACCTCAAAATATTGTTGATATTTTATTTAAATAGAATTTACAATTGTCAGTGCCAGTATGAAAGTCTTTAGCAGACTTCTTTTTTTTATGTTTGTGTTTAGATTGCCACAAATACTGTTTAGGCAGTCATTTCTTATTCTTGCATCACATTTTATCAATGCTGTGTGTGTGTGTGTGTATATGTATGTGTGTGTATGTATATATGTGTGTGTATATATATATATATATATATGTATATATGTGTGTGTATATATATATATATATATATATATATATATATAAAATATAACCATTTTTATTGCTGTCCAATATTGTATATAGCTCAAAACTCTGTACATTTTTTTTTAATTTGTGGAAGTAACTTGTTTTCACATGCGTCCTCAGACTTGCTACTGTTTGGAATTTTAAGTGAGAGCGCAATTTAACTGTAAAGCAATGTACAAAAAATTAATTGTTAAATATATTGTGTTGTGTAAAATACCTCAGGGATGTGTAGATATTTATACATAATTTCAGATCTTCCAAAGGCAAACGGAAAAAAAAAAAATTAGCCTGTTCGGTTCATGAATATTACCCTTTGCTAAATGAAGAGGGAAATTTTTACTTATTAGACCTATGTGTACTTTTATTCTGAACAGAAAGATTGCAGTTCTGATTTTATTTTGTTTTTATTATATCAATACTTATGAGACAGAGGTGTTGATGGCTTTTTTAAATAAAATGTTAAATATGCCATGTATGCCTTTTTAAATAAAGCTTGGGCAACCTGTAGCTCTGCAGCTTTTCAAAAATACATTTTCCAACATGCTTTGTTTGCTATCAGAAATCCACAGCTTGCCTATTGCTTTTCTGAATGTTAATGACTGGCAGTCACCTCATAGGAAAATGTATAAATCATGCTTGTTAAGATGTACATATTTTACATTTTATAGGTGTGATGATCTAAAATGATGTTTTGCATTTATTAAAAAACATGTTAAGGATTTCTTTTACCTGTGTCTTATTTGTAAATGTTGCTTGAGAAAAATGTGTTCGCTGTTTAACATTACAGTTGATAAACTACTTCTGTTTGGAACACAAAGTCTCTGTATATATCCACAAGGTGGCACTGTGCACAAGGATAGTTAAACCAGTCCTTTTTCCCCTATTTTTTACTCTAATCTTTATCTATCCTTCCTTCCCTGATAATGCCCAAGTCACTTTTTGTTCTGCTACTGGGGGATTCTGCCAAATCCTATTTTTTATTTTATTTTTTTTTACTGGGGGATTCTGCCGGATCCTATTTTTTATTTAATTTTTTTACTGGGGGATTCTGCCTCCAGTAGCAATTTCTAAGCCAACAGGTAGGCTTCCTCTCTCTCTGACTCTCACATTCCCCATGACATTCGTTGTTATGCCCAATTACCATACACCATTATTGTTACACCTTTCCCTGATCACTCACCTCCTGCAATGCACATTGCTCTTGCAAAGCCTGTTGTCAATTTGTGTTCTCTTCCACTACATCCACCTGGCAATGCAACCACTCATCTTCCTGCATGCTGGTCCCACCAGATCCCCAAAGCTTAACCTTTAACCTGGGAACACAGATCCCTGCAGCTCACCTCTGACCTTCAAAACTTGTTGTAAGCCTGCACTTTTGACTTCACGAACCTTCACTCACCTGCTTGCCAGTCCCTAAACATTTGTGGCTATCTACTCAGCTTCCCCATGGAGACCTCTGATAAGCATAGCTGGCACTCACATTGCATGTTCAACATATGACCAAAGGAATATGTGCTCACATTGCCCTCTAACTGCTGTAGTCACAGATACACAGAAGTTCTGATCCCTGATTTCCTTTGCTAGATGATATGCAGAGAGTCAAAGGGAAGTCAGAGACCAGAGAATTCCATGTACATGGTGGCCATGTGTTACACTGATCAAAAGGAGTGAATGGGGGGATGGGAGCGCATCTTTCTTGTGGCATGTGTTGAACATGCAAGTTTGCTGTCAGTCGCACTGATAAAGTTCTTCATAAGGTAAGTGAGTGGAAGGCCAAAGCGGCGGATACATTTTTTGGCAGATACAGTAAATGGAGGATCAGTACCACCTAACTACCTCACTTTTCCATCCCAACCACAGCAACCTCACCCTGTGGACACAAAGCCTCCCCCCAATTCACAGTGCCTCCTGTCACTGGGGATACTTGGGTCTGGTCCTGGACACAAGCAAAGGTCTTTCTTCCAAAGAAGAAAATTCTCTCTCTCAGACCTCACACTTAAGAACTGAGGTCAAAGAGACATCTCACAATAAGATTTTCCATGAGAGGCCTAGATGTCATGGTAACCTGATTTGAGGTTGTACCATTTGCTAGAAAGGTTTTGAATAAAATAGGGCAAACAACTTATCAACCTGGAATAAGCATATTCCTTTGTTGCTTCAGGCTGCGTTGCAGTGTGAATGGATCACGCAGGAAACAATTATCTGTGTGTCCTTGCGGTGACAGGCATTTTAAAATGCAGTGAAATAGCCTTAAATTGTACTAAACCCACAACAGTAAAATCAGTCTGTATATGCAGTAAAGCATGCTTGTTATACTCACTGTGGAACCTAAGGGGTTAATCCTCTGCATTATGTAAAAAGGCTGTTTGATCCTGTCTTCTCTGATCCCTTCTTCTACTGTCCCAATTTCATCTCCTGATAATACAGAGCTCTAAGAGGCACTCTGCACATGCTCAGTTTAGTGTGTATTGCTAGAGAGTTTTCTATTTTTCTTTGGGAAGGTGCACGTGATCAGCACAGGGCCAATCAACACTGTCCAGACAGAGGGTCAAGGACCATGCAGCCTCTTAGGACAATCAAGTGAGAATGAAAACTCCTACAAGATAAACCAGTGCTTGTCTGGGCACTGATTGAAGTCACAAGACTGCTATATACTGCTGATGAGAAAAGGTATTTAGCAGTTTATATTTACTAAAATAATTGTACTACCATGTTCTGTGTACTGTAGGAGAGCAGATATAGTGAATTTAGTCCTGGTTTTACTAACATTTTAAGACTTGAGACTCAAAAGTCTGCTGTGGGGGGGAGGCGCTCTACGATGCTTAACGATGGAAGATATACCATCATGACCATTGAAACTCAGCAGCCTGCAGTGTAGTCTGCACGTTTGGTCCTCCCACTGCAATGGAAAGGATGGCATCTGAGAGAGAGAGAGACCCTAAGACTGGTATTTCCTGTAACCTGCCATCTGTTATTAAGTGAATCAATGTTATTTTTCATTCTTTTTTAATTGTTTTATTTTGTGGTATTATGGCAAGAGACTTAAATTTAATTGCAAGAAATTAGATTTTACATTGGCTATATTTGCTTTAACATGAACAGTGGCAGGCAATTGGAGATCTCTGCAAGATCTAATCATTGAAGAGTCTAAGTGCAAAGCACTCCAATGGTGGCAGTGGTAAAATTATTTTTCAGGTCCGGAGATCAAGCATCAAGCCCTACATTCTAGCTGTGCATTTGTAAGATGTAGAGATGAGCGAAGTATTCAAAAATTCGATTCGACTGATTCGGCGAATTCGTGGAAAAATTTCGATTCGAGTCGAATATATTCGCTGTGAATTTAACTTAAAAAAGGGTGTTTCTAGGCTTCAGAGAGACTTAATATTAGTGCTGAACACTGTACCTTTAATTTAAATGCCCTTGGAGTCTGCTGGGGAAGAGAAATAATACTGTCAGGCAGTATGACATGCAGATGAGTGCCGTCGATCTTAGAATCACCGCACACTTCACTCATTTGGGCAGTCACGGGGCCAAAACCAGAGTGTGGAGCCACAGTGTGGCGGTGGAGGCAGCAGCAATGGGAGGCCATACAGCACCCTATGACAAAAATGGAAACCACCAGCAGTGTGAGGAGACCTGAAAGTGGCACATGGCAGAGTGTGGCGATAGAGACAGCAGCAATGGGAGGCCGTACAGGGACCCATGACACACTCTGGACCTGGCAGCAGCATGAGGAGGCGGTACAGGGGCCCATGGCAGATTACGGGCCTGGCAGCAGCATGAGGAGTCGGTACGGGGGCCCATGGCAGATTACGGGCCTGGCAGCAGCAATGGGAGGCCGTACAGGGACCCATGACACAATCTGGACCTGGCAGCAGCATGGGGAGGCGGTACAGGGGCCCATGACAGATTACGGGCCTGGCAGCAGCATTTGGAGTCGGTACGGGGGCCCATGACACACTCTGGACCTGGCAGCAGCATGAGGAGGCGGTACAGGGGCGCATGACAGATTACGAGCCTGGCAGCAGCAGCAACTTGGACAGGAGGGACGTTCAGTTTCTGCACCGTCTCTGGTGCGTGCTCGCAAACTGTTGTCTCTTGGAAACGGATTCCAAGAAAGACTGCTGACGGAATCCGTGAAGAGGAGTAGCAGGAGAAGGAGCATCTGAACGAGCGGAATATGCCAACAAGCGACAACAGGGGCCCATGACAGATTACGGGCCTGGCAGCAGCAGCATGAGGAGTCGGTACGGGGGCCCATGGCAGATTAGGGGCCTGGCAGCAGCTATGGGAGGCCCGTAATCTGCCAGCACCCTATGACAAAAAATGGAACCCACCAGCAGTGTGAGGAGACCTGAAAGTGGCACATGGCAGAGTGTGGCGATGGAGACAGCAGCAGCAATGGGAGGGCCGTACAGGGACCCATGAGAGACTCTGGACCTGGCAGCAGCATGATGGAGGCGGTATAGGGGCCCATGGCAGATTAGGGGCCTGGCAGCAGCTATGGGAGGCCCGTAATCTGCCAGCACCCTATGACAAAAAATGGAATACACCAGCAGTGTGAGGAGACCTGAAAGTGGCACATGGCAGAGTGTGGCGATGGAGACAGCAGCAATGGGAGGCCGTACAGGGACCCATGAGAGACTCTGGACTTGGCAGCAGCATGAGGAGGCGGTATATAGGGGCCCATGGCAGATTAGGGGCCTGGCAGCAGCTATGGGAGGCCCGTAATCTGCCAGCACCCTATGACAAAAAAATGGAACACACCAGCAGTGTGAGGAGACCTGAAAGTGGCACATGTTTGGGGCATGATTCATGGCGGATTTAGTCAGTTGTGTCAGGAACTGGTGGTTTGAAATCCAGACTAATCCACGCCTGATTCATTTTCACAAACGTCAGTCTCTCCACACTTTGGGGTGGACAGTCGTGTCCTCCGCGGAGTTGCAATACCTCCTGCCGCACTAAACACGCGCTCCGATGCCACGCTACTGGCCGGGCATGACAGCCTTTCAAGGGCAAATTCAGCTAGTTGGGGCCAAAGGTCAAGTTTCGTTGCCCAGTAGTCAAGGGGATTGTCTACCTCGGTTGGCAGGGTGCTGTCCAAGTAGGCCTAAGCCTGTTGTTTGAGGTCCTGCTCCAGGTCCACCTGATGCTGCTGCTGCTGCTGCTGCTGCTGCTGCTGCTGGTGCTGGTTAGTAGTTTCCTCACTGCGCTGGTGAAGAAAGCTACTCATCATCGACTGCAGACTGAGGCAGCCGCTGCTGGTGGAGCTGCCACTGCTCCTACCACCCCACCCCTCCCCTGCTGCCATGGCAGCGGAACGCGAACGCGAGCGCACAGGGCCCACAGTGTCTGAGGATGGACGTTGGCGCAGACAGGCAGAGACCAGCTGACTACATAGGTGGTTTTTATAGTAGTACGTTATTTTGGCCTCCCTCTCAGCAGGTGTGAAAAAAGGCCACCATTTTTGAACGGTAGCGAGGGTCCAACAAGGTGGACAGCCAAAAGTCATCCCTCTGTCTGATGGTTATTATTCGGCTGTCGCTACGCAAGCAAGCAAGCGAGCATGCTATGGGCCATTTGTGCCAAGGAATGCGAGGGACTCCCTGCCTCCATCTCCACAGCATACTGCCACGGTGCGTCTGGGTCCTCTGTCTCCTCCTCCTCCTCCTCTACCAGATGCTCCTGCTCCTCCACTCCTGTCCGCTGAGTGGAAAAAACCACCACCCATTTCACTCAATAATTCCTGAGCACCAATGTCCTCCTCTACCTCCTCCTCTTCTTCCTGTCCTGCCCCCACAGGGGTCATGTGGCGTTGAGATCTGTGCGCCACGTCTACCGCACCCTGACCAGCCATTGTTAACAGCATTTGTTCCAGGACGTGCAACAGAGGAATGACGTCGTTCATCCCATAGTCCTGCCGACTCACGAATAGCGTGGCCTCCTCAAAGGGCCTGAGAGCAAGCGCAGGTGTGTCACGCATGAGCTGCCAATGGCTGACATCTAAGTTACACAGGGAGTACCTTTATCCGCTTTTAACATCAGGAAATCGTGATGGCCTTTTCGCTGTTCGTAAAGGCGGTCTAACACATATGTAGGGTTGAATTCCACCTTGTTGCAACGTCACAGCATGAGGAGTCGGTACGGGGGCCCATGGCAGATTACGTGCCTGGCAGCAGCAATGGGAGGCCCGTAATCTGCCAGCACCCTATGTCAAAAAATTCAACACACCAGCAGTGTGAGGAGACCTGAAAGTGGCACATGGCAGAGTGTGGCGATGGAGACAGCAGCAATGGGAGGCCGTACAGGGACCCATGACAGACTCTGGACTTGGCTTGGCAGCAGCATGAGGAGGCGGTGTATATAGGGGCCCATGGCAGATTAGGGGCCTGGCAGCAGCTATGGGAGGCCCGTAATCTGCCAGCACCCTATGTCAAAAAATTCAACACACCAGCAGTGTGAGGAGACCTGAAAGTGGCACATGGCAGAGTGTGGCGATGGAGACAGCAGCAATGGGAGGCCGTACAGGGACCCATGGAGACTCTGGACCTGGCAGCAGCATGAGGAGGCGGTGTATATAGGGGCCCATGGCAGATTAGGGGCCTGGCAGCAGCTATGGGAGGCCCGTAATCTGCCAGCACCCTATGTCAAAAAAATTCAACACACCAGCAGTGTGAGGAGACCTGAAAGTAGTGGCACATGGCAGAGTGTGGCGATGGAGACAGCAGCAATGGGGATGGGACAGCGTACAGGGACCCATGAGAGACTCTGGACCTGGCAGCAGCATGAGGAGGCGGTATATAGGGGCCTATGGCAGATTAGGGGCCTGGCAGCAGCTATGGGAGGCCCGTAATCTGCCAGCACCCTATGTCAAAAAAATTCTAACACACCAGCAGTGTGTGAGGAGACCTGAAAGTGGCACATGGCAGAGTGTGTGGCGATGGAGACAGCAGCAGCAATGGGAGGCCGTACAGGGACCCATGAGAGACTCTGGACCTGGCAGCAGCATGAGGAGGCGGGGGTATATAGGGGCCTATGGCAGATTAGGGGCCTGGCAGCAGCTATGGGAGGCCCGTAATCTGCCAGCACCCTATGTCAAAAAATTCTAACACACCAGCAGTGTGAGGGAGACCTGAAAGTGGCACATGGCAGAGTGTGTGCGATGGAGACAGCAGCAATGGGAGGCCGTACAGGGACCCATGACAGACTCTGGACCTGGCAGCAGCATGAGGAGGGCGGTATATAGGGGCCCATGGCAGATTAGGGGCCTGGCAGCAGCTATAGGGGAGGCCCGTAATCTGCCAGCACCCTATGTCAAAAAATTCTTCACACACCAGCAGTGTGTGAGGAGACCTGAAAGTGGCACATGGCAGAGTGTGTGGCGATGGAGACAGCAGCAATGGGAGGCCGTACAGGGACCCATGAGAGACTCTGGACCTGGCAGCAGCATGAGGAGGCGGGTATATAGGGGCCTATGGCAGATTAGGGGCCTGGCAGCAGCTATGGGAGGCCCGTAATCTGCCAGCACCCTATGTCAAAAAAATTTACACACACCAGCAGTGTGAGGAGGAGACCTGAAAGTGGCACATGGCAGAGTGTGGCGATGGAGACAGCAGCAATGGGAGGCCGTACAGGGACCCATGAGAGACTCTGGACCTGGCAGCAGCATGAGGAGGAGGCGGTAGGTATATAGGGGCCCATGGCAGATTAGGGGCCTGGCAGCAGCTATGGGAGGCCCGTAATCTGCCAGCACCCTATGTCAAAAAAAATTCTACACACCAGCAGTGTGTGAGGAGACCTGAAAGTGGCACATGGCAGAGTTGTGGCGATGGATGACAGCAGCAATGGGAGGCCGTACAGGGACCCATGAGAGACTCTGGACCTGGGCAGCAGCAGCAGGATGAGGAGGCGGTATATAGGGGCCTATGGCAGATTAGGGGCCTGGCAGCAGCTATAGGAGGCCCGTAATCTGCCAGCACCCTATGTCAAAAAAATTCAACACACCAGCAGTGTGAGGAGACCTGAAAGTGGCACATGGCAGAGTGTGGCGATGGAGACAGCAGCAATGGGAGGCCGTACAGGGACCCATGTGAGACTCTGGACCTTGGCAGCAGCATGAGGGGTATTGGTATAGGGGGCCATGGCAGATTAGGGGCCTGGCAGCAGCTATGGGAGGCCCCCGTAATCTGCCAGCACCCTATGTCAAAAAAATTCAACACACACAGCAGTGTGTGTGAGGAGACCTGAAAGTGGCACATGGCAGAGTGTGGCGATGGAGACAGCAGCAATGGGGGCCGTACAGGGACCCATGACAGACTCTGGACCTGGCAGCAGCATGAGGAGAGGGCGGTATATAGGGGCCCATGGCAGATTAGGGGCCTGGCAGCAGCTATGGGAGGCCCGTAATCTGCCAGCACCCTATGTCAAAAAATTCAACACACCAGCAGTGTGTGAGGAGACCTGAAAGTGGCACATGGCAGAGTGTGGCGATGGAGACAGCAGCAATGGGAGGCCGTACAGGGACCCATGACAGACTCTGGACCTGGCAGCAGCATGATGAGGAGGCGGTATATAGGGGCCTATGGCAGATTAGGGGCCTGGCAGCAGCTATGGGAGGCCCGTAATCTGCCAGCACCCTATGTCAAAAAATTCTACACACCAGCAGTGTGTGAGGAGACCTGAAAAGTGGCACATGGCAGAGTGTGGCGATGGGAGACAGCAGCAATGGGAGGCCGTACAGGGACCCATGAGAGACTCTGGACCTTGGCAGCAGCATGAGGAGGCGGGTATATAGGGGCCTATGGCAGATTAGGGGCCTGGCAGCAGCAGCTATGGGAGGCCCGTAATCTGCCAGCACCCTATGTCAAAAAATTCTACACACCAGCAGTGTGTGAGGAGACCTGAAAGTGGCACATGGCAGAGTGTGGGCGATGGAGACAGCAGCAATGGGAGGCCGTACAGGGACCCATGAGAGACTCTGGACCTGGCAGCAGCATGCATGAGGAGGCGGTATATAGGGGCCTATGGCAGATTAGGGGCCTGGCAGCAGCTATGGGAGGCCCGTAATCTGCCAGCACCCTATGTCAAAAAATTCTACACACCAGCAGTGTGTGAGGAGACCTGAAAGTGGCACATGGCAGAGTGTGGCGATGGAGACAGCAGCAATGGGAGGCCGTACAGGGACCCATGAGAGACTCTGGACCTGGGAGACAGCAGCATGAGGAGGCAGCAGCATGGGTATATATAGGGGCCCATGGCAGATTAGGGGCCTGGCAGCAGCTATGGGAGGCCCGTAATCTGCCAGCACCCTATGTGTCAAAAAATTCTACACACCAGCAGTGTGTGAGGAGACCTGAAAGTGGCACATGGCAGAGTGTGTGGCGATGGAGACAGACAGCAGCAATGGGAGGCCGTACAGGGACCCATGAGAGACTCTGGACCTGGCAGCAGCATGAGGGAGGCGGGTATATAGGGGCCCATGGCAGATTAGGGGCCTGGCAGCAGCTATGGGAGGCCCGTAATCTGCCAGCACCTATGTCAAAAAAAATTCTACACACCAGCAGTGTGTGAGACCTGAAAGTGGCACATGGCAGAGAGTGTGGGCGATGGAGACAGCAGCAATGGGAGGCCGTACAGGGGACCCATGAGAGACTCTGGACCTGGCAGCAGCATGAGGAGGCAGCTGAGGGTTATATAGGGGGCCCATGGCAGATTAGGGGCCTGGCAGCAGCTATGGGGGAGGCCCGTAATCTGCCAGCACCCTATGTCAAAAAATTCAACACACACCAGCAGTGTGTGAGGAGACCTGAAAGTGGCACATGGCAGAGTGTGTGGCGATGGAGACAGCAGCAATGGGAGGCCGTACAGGGACCCATGACCCATGAGAGACTCTGGACCTGGCAGCAGCATGAGGAGGGGGGGTATATAGGGGCCCATGGCAGATTAGGGGCCTGGCAGCAGCAGCTATGGGAGGCCCGTAATCTGCCAGCACCACCCTATGTCAAAAAATTCAACACACACCAGTGTAGTGTGAGGAGACCTGAAAGTGGCACATGGCAGAGTGTGGCGAGATGTGGCGATGGAGACACAGCAGCAATGGGAGGCCGTACAGGGACCCATGAGAGACTCTGGACCTGGCAGCAGCATGAGCAATGAGGAGGCGGTATAATAGGGGCCCATGGCAGATTAGGGGCCTGGCAGCAGCTATGGGAGGCCCGTAATCTGCCAGCACCCTATGTCAAAAAATTCTACACACCAGCAGTGTGTGAGGAGACCTGAAAGTGGCACATGGCAGAGTGTGGCGATGGAGACAGCAGCAATGGGAGGCCGTACAGGGACCCATGAGAGACTCTGGACCTGGCAGCAGCATGAGGAGGCGGTATATAGGGGCCCATGGCAGATTAGGGGCCTGGCAGCAGCTATGGGAGGCCCGTAATCTGCCAGCACCCTATGTCAAAAAATTCTACACACCAGCAGTGTGTGAGGAGACCTGAAAGTGGCACATGGCAGAGTGTGGCGATGGAGACAGCAGCAATGGGAGGCCGTACAGGGACCCATGAGAGACTCTGGACCTGGCAGCAGCAGCAGAGGAGGCGGTATATAGGGGCCCATGGCAGATTAGGGGCCTGGCCTGCAGCTATGGGAGGCCCGTAATCTGCCAGCACCCTATGTCAAAAAATTCAACACACCAGCAGTGTGTGAGGAGACCTGAAAGTGGCACATGGCAGAGTGTGGCGATGGAGACAGCAGCAATGGGAGGCCGTACAGGGACCCATGAGAGACTCTGGACCTGGCAGGCAGCAGCATGAGGAGGCGGTATATAGGGGCCTATGGCAGATTTAGGGGCCTGGCAGCAGCTATGGGAGGCCCGTAATCTGCCAGCACCCTATGTCAAAAAATTCAACACACCAGCAGTGTGAGGAGACCTGAAAGTGGCACATGGCAGAGTGTGTGGCGATGGAGACAGCAGCAATGGGAGGCCGTACAGGGACCCATGAGAGACTCTGGACCTGGCAGCAGCATGAGGAGGCGGTATATATAGGGGCCCATGGCAGATTAGGGGCCTGGCAGCAGCTATAGGAGGCCCGTAATCTGCCAGCAGCACCCTATGTCAAAAAATTCAACACACCAGCAGTGTGTGAGGAGACCTGAAAGTGGCACATGGCAGAGTGTGTGGCGATGGAGACAGACAGCAGCAATGGGAGGCCGTACAGGGACCCATGAGAGACTCTGGACCTGGCAGCAGCATGAGGAGGCGGTATATATAGGGGCCCATGGCAGATTAGGGGCCTGGCAGCAGCTATGGGAGGCCCGTAATCTGCCAGCACCCTATGTCAAAAAATTCAACACACCAGCAGTGTGTGAGGGAGACCTGAAAGTGGCACATGTGGCAGGACAGCAGCCTAGTGTGGCGATGGAGACAGCAGCAATGGGAGGCCGTACAGGGACCCATGAGAGACTCTGGACCTGGCAGCAGCATGAGGAGGCGGTATATAGGGGCCTATGGCAGATTAGGGGCCTGGCAGCAGCTATGGAGGCCCATAATCTGCCAGCACCCTATGTCAAAAAAATTCAACACACCAGCAGTGTGAGGAGACCTGAAAGTGGCACATGCATGTGGCGAGGAGACACTGGGAGGACCTTACAGGGACCCATGAGAGACTCTGGACCTGGCAGCAGCATGAGGAGGCGTGGTAGGTATATAGGGGCCCATGGCAGATTAGGGGCCTGGCAGCAGCTATGGGAGGCCCGTAATCTGCCAGCACCCTATGTCAAAAAATTCTACACACCAGCAGTGTGTGAGGAGACCTGAAAGTGGCACATGGCAGAGTGTGGCGATGGAGACAGCAGCAATGGGAGGCCGTACAGGGACCCATGAGAGACTCTGGACTTGGCAGCAGCATGAGGAGGCGGTATATAGGGGGCCTATGGCAGATTAGGGGGCCTGGGCAGCAGCTATGGGAGGCCCGTAAATCTGCCAGCACCCTATGTCAAAAAATTCTAAACACACCAGCAGTGTGAGGAGACCTGAAAAGTGGCACATGGCAGAGTGTGTGGCGATGGAGACAGCAGCAATGGGAGGCCGTACAGGGGACCCATGAGAGACTCTGGACCTGGCAGCAGCATGAGGAGGAGGCGGTATATATATAGGGGCCTATGGCAGATTAGGGGCCTGGCAGCAGCTATGGGAGGCCCGTAATCTGCCAGCACCCTATGTCAAAAAATTTCAACACACACCAGCAGTGTGAGGAGACCTGAAAGTGGCACATGGCAGAGTGTGGCGATGGAGACACAATGGGCCGTACAGGGACCCATGACAGACTCTGGACCTGGCAGCAGCATGAGGAGGCGGTATATAGGGGCCCATGGCAGATTAGGGGCCTGGCAGCAGCTATGGGAGGCCCGTAATCTGCCAGCACCCTATGTCAAAAAATTCAGGCACACCAGCAGTGTGTGAGGAGACCTGAAAGTGGCACATGGCAGAGTGTGGCGATGGCCTGACAGCAGCAATGGGAGGCCCGTACAGGGACACATGAGAGACTCTGGACCTGGCAGCAGCATGAGGAGGAGGCAGGTATATGGAGGGGCCCATGGCAGATTTAGGGGCCTGGCAGCAGCTATGGGAGGCCCGTTAATCTGCCAGCACCCTATGTCAAAAAAATTCAACACAC